ATACCGAAAAATGAAAATAAAAATATATATTTTTTACATTTTAGATGCGTCTGTGTAGCTGGTCTTTACAATTCCAAGTAACAGAAAACACTCTCTGTCCCTGTAGAAAGGCTAGGGACAGGCTGGGCTTCCTCTCATTACCATGTAATGCTTCTAGATTTTTAACCCTTTGCTAGCACAGAGAGTGTTGAAATCTAATTTACAAGTGATAATGAGATTTGCCTGCACACTACAGACTGGATCAATTATGTTAACATTAACCGGCCCAGCCCCCCTTGCATTCCAGATTTCCAGATGAAAACTCAGTACAGAGAGCAACTTTTCTTTCAGAACATGGCATATAATGTGCAAGGAGTCATTTTAAAAAATGTGTTTGTTATGCTTTGTGAATGAGAAAATGTAACAAATATAAAGTAGGTGTAATCCCAATTTGGCTGCAAAAGTTGAAATAAACTATAAAGTGTATCTGATCCCAAAAACAAAAATGTAATACATTGCAGCTCCCCGACCTTAAATGTGGTGGCTGCAGTTGTTTTCATTTTTCAGGCTCATAAAAAGTTATCTTTACTGGTCCCATCAATCCACCATGTAATGGAGATGAATAAAGGTAGACATGTTTGAAGTCCATACTGTGTGACAACCCTCGTAGATACAGTGGAGTAAAAAATTTAGGCAGGAAGGGACAGGAAGTGTGTTATTTGCAGGATCATTAGGTGAGAGAAAACCCTGTAAAAAATAAATCTAATGCAGCCACTGCACACTGCAAAGGTCTCAAACCACAATATATTACATTTGTGTTTTTAGGATCCAGTAATGGCTATCGGTATAAACTCCCAACATTGTGTAATAATAAAATCTGTACAATCTATGTTACATTACCAATAAACATGTAGTGTAGGGCCCTGCTATTACAGTTCACCCAATGTACAGTATATGCAATCATTTGGGCCCTCGTACTAAACAACTGCAGGCAAATCCAAATGAGTTCATACAGGTAGACTAGAATGTGTGTGTGGCCAGTTTAAGATTTCTATAGATAGTAATCTGCTTGGAAATTCCAGAGCTAAAGACACAGAAATCTGACTTTGTATATCAATCATCATCATACGGATCAGTAATTCTGTTCAACTACACAAAACTATCTGTTTTTGAAGTACCCGTCAGCATCACTTGACTCTTCCCAAGATGTTCATACTCTCCCTGTTGGGGCTTTCTTTTACTTTAATTACAAGAATGCATTAGAAAGAAAAAGGGGGAAATGGACACTCCTGTAGACTTATATACAGTCATAAACTATGCAGGAGGGAGCTTATCTAAATATTTTGTGGTCTAAAAATTGCATTCGCCAAAATGCACGCGTCAGTCACTTCTTGCAAAAAGAAAAGGAAAACAACCCACAATCCTTCTATCATAAATATCTTTTCTTCGTCATAACCTAAGGTTCCAGACTCCGGCAAGGCTTTGTGCTTGTCTATGCTCATGGAACGCAAACCAAAAGGGAATCACCATTTTACTAGGCTACTGGAGAGATAAAATAAGCTAATGGCTGATTTAGATCACCTAAACATGATACCACTAATACTAAAAAAACTCAAATATATGGTTTTAGATGGACCAATAATCTGAAATCTCCTAAAATAAACATCACCTGGAATGAAAATATAATGTAGATAGGTATGTCCAGGACCTGAGAATTCAAACCCTTCACTATGCATTACAACACTGTTCATGTTGTAGAGTTCCCACACTGGAGCTCACAGACACCGAATCTGACAAGATGGTGTTTATTGATAAATAAATGTACATAAAAATGTGCCGCTTATATTATTTAACGTACAGCCTATCTCGGGAGAGAGCTATAGGGGAAATCCCTCAGAACTGGTTAATGGTTTCACTCTCTGACTGGTTTCCTTAGAAAGATACAATCAAACTTAAAAGAAACCATTTTACTTGTTTGCATCCTGTTAACAATTCTCATGAGTTATGCATGCTAATCTGCTTGCACCCATTTTGTGCACTGGATCAGCTGCTTGATACATATTTATATACTGCTGGGTTATGTTCTGCCACAAATGCTCCCGTTTACTCCAGAGTACACTTTGAAAGTAAAAGGTTTTACAGAGACAAACATGTATAAGGATTGGATACTTGTGTAGTACAAACCAATTGCCACTTTAACATTGACATGTTACATATAAAACGTTTTATCATGCCAAGCATGTATAAGGATTGGATACTTGTGTAGTACAATCCAATGGCCACTTTAACATTGACATGTTACATATAAAACGTTATACCATGGCAAGTATGTATAAAGATTGGATACTTATGTAGTAAAATCCAATGACCACTTTAACATTGACATGTTACATATAAAACGTTATACCATGGCAAGTATGTATAAAGATTGGATACTTATGTAGTAAAATCCAATGGCCACTTTAACATTGACATGTTACATATAAAACGTTTAACCATGGTAAGCATGTATAAGGATTGAATACTTGTGTAGTATAATCCTATAAGCATTTTAACAGTTTAAATATTAAATGTTTTACCATGGCAAGCATGTATAAGGATTGGATACTTGTGTAGTACAATCCTATGGCCACTTTAACACTGACACTTTAAATATGTAATGTTTTATCATGGCAAGCATCTATAAGGATTGGATACTTGTGTAGTACAATCCTATGACTACTTTAACATTGACACTTTGAAAGTAAAGTGTTTTATCATGGCAAGCATGTATACGGATTGGATACTTGTGTAACACAATCCTATGGCCACTTTAACATTATTAGGTGAGGAGGGATTCCCTATGTTAGTTGCCATTGGGACATTTGTCCTCATTGAAGGATTTTTATTTTGCTCTGGTAACAACTCTAACATTGTGGATTTTCCTGTCTCGGTAACTAAGGTCACCACGTAAGACAGAAGGGTGAATCTTCCCATTGAAAAAAAAAACACCTCATAGTGATTTTACCTCTTCCATGCTATACATGTAACTATGTAACTATGTAGCTATTCCATTATACCAACCTAAAAACGTTTAACCTGTACATGCACAGCCAATAATACCCTTCCTCATGCTATAGAAATTGAGAAGGGTTTGCCTTTACACTTGAAAGTATTAAAGAGGTAAGCTTTCAAGACCTTTGCCTGGATCCTAAAGAAAGTATGAGAGCTTGTATCTTTATTAACTTATGTTAGCGAATAACTGGTATCACCTAAACTACAAGCTTACTGCTTAGTCAATTAAATCCATTCTCCATATGCACTTTCCCATAAAAAACTGATGAAGACTTCCTAATAGGACGCAGGCTATCACTCATTACCATCCATGCACACGATTTACTGATAAATGACATTTCAAAGCCAGTTGTGGGCTGATTTACTGAAGGAGTTCTTTTGATCTTAGCCCATGTTCACTCTAAATATCTTACAAGTAATACAGATCTTTCAATATAAATAAGTAAAAGAGAAATACATTACATTCCAGCTAGGATGAAAATGGTTCCTTTGGAAAAATCAACTCCTGCATTAAATATTATTGCTTCACCGTAAATATTTTATTACTTAAGAGTCACAATCGCCTAGACGTAGGTTATTCTCTCTCCTCTCTACTTTTCCTCATATCTTCAATTCATCATTGGGATTCCAGAGATCAGCAATTCCTGTACTAGCTCGAGCTCATGGAACTCAAACCAAAAGCTTGTCACCATTTTAGAAAGATTGCCAGGAACACTTTGCTGCTACACCCGGCATCATTCAAAATGCTGTTTCAACACGCTACTGTTGCTTAGTTTGCATTTTAAATGCTGCCACTTAATACCTATTAGCATAAAAATACTTACATCTTCTCTAATTGCTGAAACTACAATGCAGCAAAAGAAAATGTTGTTCGGTTCTGAGCCTCAAGGAAACTTCTATAAGGGCAGACCTTCAAAATTGGAATCTATACCTAAACGTTACGTGATGTCTTTACGTGGCGTGACAACAATCCATACCTGTGTAGAGTACTGGAAATAGCGTTTGTCACCTGGCCATTATTCTACCAGCCTTTCCAGTAAAAATGTTGCCTGTTACCAGATGTAAGGCTAGTATTTTCCTGACAACAACAACAAAATATCAAAATTTCCTATCCATAGTACTGATCACATATATGCTTGAAAATCTTTGTTATTTCCACTTGAAATTGTTAGTAAAAGTACCAGCTGGCCAAACAAGTGAAGACATTTCCTGCACATCATTTCTGATCTGATTATATATACAATACAGACATTATTTATATACAATATAGACCAGTAAGTGTTTAGAATAGGCAGTGATAGGTCTGTGATTGAGGAAAGACCTTCCTATGATGATCAGCCTGAAGAATGCTTAGTACAAGTGGGAATAAAGCACAATAGCTGGCTGATGCATGCTGTTTTCCTTCATGTAACAGGGCTGAGGGGGAATGTGTAGGTGAAGGCCAAAAATATTGCAACATACAAGGACACTTCCGGCATAACACGAATTCTCTTCGAAATGGCTATTAAAGGGAGACTGTTAACCCTTTGTAGATGTAAAGTAGGGGCACCTAGTTTGTGAACCCGTGCATGTGCCAGCCTCTGGCATGTGCCCTGCCTGCTCTCTGACCAGTCCCCGTATTATCGGTGCGGTATGGGGGGCTCCCCGGCTGTTTTCTACATTGGCCTTGCTATACTTGTACACGGCGGGGTGTCATGAAGCCAGCATGTAACTACAAGGCGGATTTGTCGCCGCGGCGCCAAGCCCTCGTGTTAGCAGATGACAGCTCTGCCATGGTGTGTGTCTGTGACATGCGGTCGGGGATACAACAGCCTCGGCTGCAAAGGCAATATTTCCCAGGGAGATGGCTATCCCTGGCTGGGCAGAAGGTCAGCGAGGTGGCCCACCAGAGCTTTGCCTATTTACCATTGCATATGTCCCCGCGACACCCCTGAATGGCTACGTGCACCCAAATTTGCAGACATTACCTGCCAAAGAATCCTTTTCTCTTCCCCATGGTGTCTCAAGCCATAACTTTCAACAGACGATCCAAGTACAAGCCAGCCCCCCCTATATGAAAAAAAAACGCTGCTCAGACACTCTTCATTTCCGCCACGATCGAAGAGAAAACTTTGCACTTGGGGGGATCTGGTAGATGTGCAGCGTTGAAGGAGATCCAGGACAGGAGACGGGTGTCAGGGGTGGAATCAGAGGATTGTCGGCGCTGGATTGCCTGTGATGTCTGCGCCACATGCGCTGCTTCCCATGCTGAGCTGTGTTATGTAAAGCTGCAGGATGTGGAATCCTCTCTATCAGTCCTGTAGTGTCCTCTGCATGTGAGCGAAGAAAGCAGCGTGATGGTGATCGCTGCTGACAACCACGTCTCTCTGTCACATGCTACTCAGCCAAAGCTGTCAATGCAAGTCTCCGAGGGGGGCAGTACAGCTACACTGCGCTTAACACAGGCGATCAGAATATAGCACCTAGGAGTCCCACAGACCTACAGAGGAATGCCAAAAATGAGAAACTAGCTCCTGCTGCAAGGGGAAACTTGATGAGTATAGAGGGCGATCTTCATGAGTGTAGGAGGGTCTGCGATTATAGAGGGCGATCTTCATGAGTGTAGGAGGGTCTGCGATTATAGAGCAATCTTCAAGAGTATATGAGGGTCTGCGATTATAGAGGGCGATCTTCACAAATATAGGAGGGTCTGCGATTATATAGGGTCGATCTTCAGGAGTATAGGAGGGTCTGCAATTATAGAGTGTGATCTTCATGAGTATAGGAGGGTCTGCGATTATATAGGGCGATCTTCACGAGTATAGGAGGGTCTGCGATTATAGAGTGTGATCTTCATGAGTATAGGAGGGTCTGTAATTATAACGGGCGATCTTCACGAGGTATAGGAGGGTCTGCAATTATAGAGTGTGATCTTCACAATGTATAGGAGGGTCTGCGATTATAACGGGCGATCTTCACGAGTATAGGAGGGTCTGCGATTATAACGGGCGATCTTCACGAGTATAGGAGGGTCTGCGATTATAGAGTGTGATCTTCACGAGTATAGGAGGGTCTGCGATTATAGAGGGCGATCTCCATGAGTATAGGAGGGTCTGCATTAATAGAGGGCGATCTTCACCAGAATAGGAGGGTCTGCATTAATAGAGGGGGATCTTCACATGAGTATAGGAGGATGTGCAATTATAAAGGGCGATCTTCATGAGTATAGGAGGGTATGCGATTATAGAGGGCGATCTTCATAAGTATAGGAGGGTCTGCGGTTATAAAGGGCGATCTTCATGAGTATATGAGGATCTGCGATTATAGAGGGGGATTTCAAGAGAATAGGAGGGTCTGCATTAATAGAGGGCGATCTTCATGAGTATAGGAGGATCTGCGATTATAGAGGGCGATCTTCATGAGTATAGGAGGGTCTGCGATTATAGAGGGCCGTTTTCACAAGTATAGGAGGGTCTGCGATTATAGAGGGCCGTTTTCACAAGTATAGGAGGGTGTGCATTAATATAGGGTGATCTTTGCAAGTATAGGATGATCTGCAATTAAAAAAGGTGATCTTCACGAGTATAGGATGATCTGCAATTATAGAGGGCAATCTTCACGAGTTTAGGATAATCTGCAATTATAGAGGGCGATCCTCACGAGTATAGAGCAACCTGTATGGATATAGGGCGAGCTAAACGAGTATATAGGACATCCTGCATGATCTGCTTGCATATAGGATGATCTGTGTGTATAAACGCCTCCCAGTTATTTGGGGAGCGGGCTCAGCTCATTTTCTGGGCTCAGCGCTGTGCTGTGACTCGGGGGAATACAGCTGCTGGATGGAATTGTTAGAGTTATTGTTTGATGGAGTCTGTGAAAAAAAGTGCAAAAATGAAAGTGAGTTCATTTCCTTCCAGCCATAAGAAGGGGGAGCAAAAGCTAACACTATTCACAGTGTATCTAAAACCATTTTCATTTTATTTTATTTTTCTGGAAGTATTATAACTCCTCTGTCATGTTTTACTGCCTTTGAAGGCTCTCTTGGAGAGATTCCTTCATTTCGGGTCTGGTAAAACGTTTGTCCACAGAAAAGGAAGAGAGGGGAAATCATTATTATTATTATGTAGGATTTATATAGCTCCAACAGTTTGCGCAGCGTTTTACAATATAAGGAAGACATTACAATCACAATACAAATGAAGATAAGATGGTAAGGAGGGCCCTGCCTGTGAGCAAGTGATACAAGAGGTGGTAGCTGTGTGGGGATGAATTGTTTCAGAAAATGATAGTGCAGTGGGTAGTTTGAGTTGGGACAGGCTTCTGAAGAGATAAGTTTTCAAGGATCACCTAAAGGCAGTCAGAGCGGGAGATAGATGGACAGGTTGGACTGAGGAGTTCCAGAGGATGGGACAGACTCTAGAAAGTCCTGGAGGTGAGCATTGGAGGAGTTGACAAGGGAGCAAAAAAGCAGGAGGTCTTGGGAGGAGCGGAGAGGACAGTTAAGGTGCCCATACACCTTACGATTATCGTACGATAATCGTATGCGATCGACTTTTCGTACGACAGGAGGTTGAGTTTTATTTGTAGTAGAGAAATGCAAAGTCTCTTCTGCATGCTCAGTACAGTGTACACTCCCGGCTCATTCCAGGGATGTGTAAGATACTGAGGATGAAATGAGGTACTGGAGACACTGTAACTCTTACGTACATGTGTAGGAATTACATCATCAGTGGCCACTCAAAGGCCGAAGAGGAGCATTATATAGCCCAGATAGGGCTATATAATTATATCAAACATGTGTACTTAACGCCTCACTTAATTTGAATAAAATATACAAAAATGAGAAAAAAATAACTTTTTAAAAAAATGTTTGGCTATTATTAGGCTGCTCCAAACTTAGGAACAGCTAATAATAACCTTAGAGACTGACCCTGACAGCATGTCAGATTCAGATCTCACTAAAAGGTCTTTGATCGGCCCAGACGATCAGAAATCTGATACATTTCACTCAAAGAGATACATTGTATCTCTTTGGTGAAATGTATCATAAACATCGGGCTATCGAGCTGTCAAAACGAATAGCAGAGAGGTGAGTCACTCTGCTACCTCTCTGCTATTTTCAGCTGTCAAATACCGGATCCTGTATTTGCATGTAACGGCTTCATTCTTTCATTAGTGAAAGAAAAAAGCTTTTACAAAAGCTTAACTATTTCATTAATGAATGCCTCAATACTGAGACATTAATTAATGACTGGTAACTGCTGAGAATCAGCGGTTACTGGCATTACAAAGCCTGATATAACTCGTCACGTACAGTGTACGTGGCCAGTCATATAGGCACTTCGTGACGGGACATACAGTGTACGTCTCCCATCACGAAGGGGTTAAAGGAGATCTATGAGGTGAGTGCTTTTCACTCACCTCATAGTTCTAGCCGACCTGTGACAATGAAACTGTCACAGGTCGGCTCAGTAGATGTGGAAGTGAGCGAACACATACCGGTGCTCGCTCACTTCTCAATCCTGTGCCGGCAGAGAGCCGTGACAGGGGAGGGACTGGATTCCCCCCTCCCCTATCCGATCCTCCAGCGCTGACTGGCGGAACGGACGGGGGAGGGTACAGCTGGCTCTGCCTCTAGATAGGCAAAGCCAGCTGTCACTCACGCAGCTGGGCGGATCCAGACATAATTGTCAGGATCCGTTCCGGCTGCGGCGTCTCAGTATACCGCAAGCTGTAGCTTGCGGTATACTGAGCTGTGGGTGACGGGAGGAGGTTAGTTTGTATCCTCCCATTACCCTTAGGAGAACTATGGGGAAAAGCCCTAACCCCATAGTTCTCCTTTAATATAAAGAGACAGCAGCTTGGGTCTTGACCACTATGTATTGATAGAAATGCAGTTTTGATGCAAACAAAAGCCTGTTGACAATAGGCCCTAAGTCTTCTTTTCGTCATTGGGCCTAGTACACAAATGATGTGATTTCAGAAGTAAGGAGTGATTCCACTATCTCATGCACTATGACTCCAGCTTAGTGTTCAGGTATTTCATGCCCCCTGTGATCCCTGTAGTTATAATAGGGGTGTGTGTTTAAAAACAAGATTACATACAAGCCATGATGAATGCTGTTGACCATGTTATTAAAAACATCTGGTACATTATTTATTATTATTAAAATGATGGCATATGGAGCCATCATTTTTTGTGATGCTGGATATAGTCAGGATATATTTTTACTAAAAAGTTTCTGTATTAAAAAGCCAGAGAACGTTAGAACTGTGATTATAAATAAAACAAGCCACGCTGATGAACTGATCAGCATTGGGTACATGACTGGCAGTGACATTGTAGATAAGATCTCAGATATGTCTCTGTGGAAAAACTTGTGATACCGGTCCAAAGGAAACACTGGGTAGCAAAGTTTAATGAAGTTCCCATGTGGTAGGACAGTCAGTATATCACATTGTGAATCTGTCACAAATGAGGCAAGATGACAGTGCTGTAGAGCAGACAGAAAACATAGAATGTACTTCTACTAGGAGGAAGAAGACCTAATGGGTGACCAGACCAAAAAAGTAGGAGTGGGGGGCAGCAAACAGCAGAGGGGAACCTGGATTTGGACCTTAAGGTTACCATTAGACATGAGATGGTGACCTGTCACATCCATTTCCCTTATGTCATCATGGTATAATAAGAATGTACATTTTTCCAGGTTCACGTGTTAAACTGGCCATTCTCTAAACAATCTAATTGTGCAATCTCTGCACAGTCTCCTTTAGGTTTACCAAAACTATGTAACATGGGGACACACCTAAACTGTCCATTCAGTTTGTATCAAACAGTGCAGGCCTTTGCACTACATTCCTGATGGTAGATCTAAAGGAGATTGTACAATAATCCTTAGACAGACTCTTCTGCCACCACCTTCCTCTTAGTGGAATAGTGGTAGTCATACTATCAATTCTTCCCCCATAGACCACACGTGTGACAATTTCCTGATTCAACTATACCTGTTTGAACTGAGAGACTCTCTGTGTGCCCTAAGGCCAAACAATTTAATTGGCCCTTATAGGCAAAGTCAATTATTTATGTAGATACATTTTATCAGAAATAGTAGA